CTAGGTAATTAATACAGTACACTTAGTTCATTAGATATTTACATTTTTGTCTTTTAGTATATATATAAAACACCTCAGATATATTCAAATTTGGTTTTAAAATTCAAGGAAGTAAAAATGAGCGTCACATAATAATGAATGTTGTAATGAATGTTGTATGTGGATAGAATAACGTTTTGGAGGTGATAATTCCCCCTAAGTCAAGATGTAAGAATGTGTATATTAAGTAGTTGACGTAAACAAAAGCAAACAGTATCTAGAAATAGTATAAACAATGTACTGAGACTTTACTTTAGTTACATAGGTTCAGTTAAGTATTACCTGTTACATAATTGATATACTGAATTTATAAGGAAAACAATATTATTACTCTCGTATTTCCCTTCCATAACAAAGCTCTAAATTTAGTATATTTATGTCACCCATTCCAGTGTCACCCATCCTAGTATCACCCATCCCAGTATCACCCATCCCAGTGTCACCCATCCCAATATCACCCATCCCAGTATCACCCATCCCAATATCACCCATCCCAATATCACCCATCCCAGTATCACCCATCCCAGTATCACCCATCCCAGTATCACCCATCCCAATATCACCCATCCCAATATCACCCATCCCAATATCACCCATCCCAATATCACCCATCCCAGTATCACCTCTTACTGTCGTTCCGTCTCTACCTCTTTCTGTCTCTCCCTGTTACTGTCTCTCTCTGTCTACCTCTTACTGTCTTTCTTCCCTGTTACTCTGTGGTTTAGTTTATCACTGTGTTGACATATCCACTCTACGCTATCTAAAACACTGCATTTCCTTCATTTAAACTTCCATTTATTTATCTCCGTCATTCTTTCACAGTTTTATATTTATTTTTATCACTTCTCATACACTTTGTCATCAGTTCTCTGTTGATTCTTATCTCTTATCATACACTTTGTCTATGATTTAAGTGACATTTTGAGATAATTTAAGTGAATGAGCTAGTTTAACATTAGGTTTGGGATGATTTAAGTAACAGTGGGATGATTTAAGGAACAGTTTGGGATGATTTAAGTGACAGTTTGGGATGATTTAAGGAACAGTTTGGGATGATTTAAGTAACAGTTTGAGATGATTTAAGTAACAGTTTGGGATGATTTAAGTAACAGTTTGGGATGATTTAAGTAACAGTGGGATGATTTAAGTAACAGTGGGATGATTTAAGTAACAGTGGGATGATTTAAGTAACAGTTTGGGATGATTTAAGTAACTGGGATGATTTAAGTAACAGTTTGGGATGATTTAAGTAACAGTTTGGGATGATTTAAGTAACAGTGGGATGATTTAAGTAACAGTTTGGGATGATTTAAGTAACAGTGGGATGATTTAAGTAACAGTTTGGGATGATTTAAGTAACAGTGGGATGATTTAAGTAACAGTTTGGGATAATTTAAGTAAAAGTTATGATGTTAGGATAGTCTTGCGATCTGTTTACACTTTCTGTTGAGGAGGAAATATTATCACTGTTGAGATTCTTACTCGATATGGTGACGGACAGTGAAAGTCAAGGTGATGGTGATGTCACTGTTAAGTTTAGCCTCTTTGTTTCTCCTGATGGTGAATGTGATGAGGGAACTTGGTGATGGTATGGTGAAGATACTTGATGGTGATGATGGGTGAAGGTATTTGGTGATAGTGATTGTTATGGTGAAGTTTAGGATGAGTGATGGTGATAGTGAAGGTATTTGGTCATATTGATGGTGATAGTGAACGTACTTTGTCTTAGTGTTGGTGATAGTGAACGTACTTGGTCATAGTGATAGTGAGGTACTTGGTGATAGTGAAGGTACTTGGTCTTAGTGATGGTGATAGTGAAATTTAGGATGAGTTGTGGTGTTAGTTATGGTGAAGATACTTGATGATAGTGATGTCATTGCTCAGCTTAACATTATTGATGGTGACATATGTTGATGGTGTTATTAACTTTGAAACATGAGTGATGGTGAATATTACAATAAAAAAAATAGTGATGTCATAGTGTTTATTATCACCGAATAATTTAAATGATAGTGACGTTATTATTATCACCATGGATCATTGTCCTTGATGGTGTTTTGATATAGTGAAAGATGTAAGGATGATAGTGTGTGTGTGTGTGTGTGTGTGTGTGTGTGTGTGTGTGTGTGTGTGTGTGTGTGTGTGATGAAAATAATGTTGATGTCATATTTCGTGTTGTCATGTTTTGTGGCGAGTAGCGGAAGCCAACGTGGGTGTCATTGTTAAGTTTAGGATTTATGTAGCTACCCTTGTTACTCACTTGTTACTTACTTGTTTGTTACTTGTCATTCGGTTGTTACTCAATTGTTACTTGTCATTCGCTTCTTACTTGTTTGTTACGTTTTATTTGTTACTTGTTTGTTGTTTTTTTTACTTGTTACTCGCTTCTTACTTGATTGTTACTTGTCATTTACTTGTTACCCGTTTGTCATGGTGTTGGTATAGTGAAGGGTCAAAGTTATGGTGGTCTTACACAACTAATGGTGATGCCTTTGTTAACTTTAGTGTAATAACGAGCTTAACAGTGTGGGATCATGGTGTCACTATCCCAATGATGGTGAATAGTACAGTGAACGTTTAAGGTGATAGTGGTGTCATTATCACCTTTGGGTATATGGGCCCTTGTTGCTCGTGAATATTGTGTTGTTTAAATATTGTGAAAGTCCTTTGGTAATGAAGTTGATATCATTTTCCGATGGTGATGTCATTTTTAGGTAGAGCCTCTATGTGTGTGTGTGCGTGTGTGTGTGTGTGTGTGTGTGTGTGTGTGTGTGTGTGTGTGTGTGTGTGTGGTAGATACAGTGAAAGTGGTGGTTGACTGTAGTGGCGCGGTGATGTCAGAAATAATCATCTAATAATTCGGGTATTGAAATAATCTTATAATAAATCAAGTATTACCAATAAAAAATATGTCAAATTACAGGTAGATAATTTATACAGGTAGATAATTTATACAGGTAGATAATTTACACAGGTAGATAATTTACACAGGTAACATCAATACTATTCATGACGAGTGTGTGTTATTACGTCATTTTTTTATGTTGTATACATAACCAATAAGACACAAAGTTATTCCTATCGCGTCGTAGTTACACACTCTTGAATAAGCTTGGCAGGGTGTGGGTGTGTCGAGGTAGGTGGGTGGGTGGGTGTGTAGATGGGTGGGGGTGTTGTTATAGCGGGGTTGAGAGGTGTAGTAGGGTGTTGTTATAGCGGTGGTGAGAGGTGTAGTAGGGTGTTGTTATAGCGGTGGTGAGAAGTGTAGTAGGGTGGGGGGGGTTTGTTATAGCGGTGGTGAGAGGTGTAGTAGGGTGTTGTTATAGTGGTGGTGAGAGGTGTAGTAGGGTGTTGTTATAGCGGTGGTAGAGGTGCTGGTAGGGTGTTGTTATAGTGGTGGTGAGAGGTGTAGTAGGGTGTTGTTATAGTGGTGGTGAGAGGTGTAGTAGGGTGTTGTTATAGCGGTGGTGAGGTGTAGTAGGGTGTTGTTAGCGGTGGTGAGAGGTGTAGTAGGGTGTTGTTATAGCGGTGGTGAGAGGTGTAGCAAGGTGAGGGAAGATGTGGAGACAGGAGGGGATACTCAGGTGTGTGTGTGTGTGTGTGGGTGTTTGTTTACTACTCAGGTGTGGTCCCAAGAGACAGGTAACACCCACACAGTCATTAGATATACCTAATTACCTCATCAGTATTATGTGTATATTTCTCAACCCACTTATGAAGCTCAGGTGTTAATTATTATTTTTTTTAATCTACTACTCACAAATTTAAGATCACCTGACAAATTTCCACCCCAGCTTGTTTCACCAAAAGATTAACCACCCGAACGCTAACCTAACCTAACCTAATCTTTTTTGCTCCTCGTTTACAACAGTTTTACAGCCAGACAAGAAACATCCTCATTACTGCCTATACACACACACACACACACACACACACTGGGGCTGAGTAGTGAATGTCCAACTTGGTTCCTTTTAACGACACGAAAACAAAGCACGTAATATTATTCAACAGCCGTGACTTTGCACAGATCAACACTAATTCTCACAACACCATCACCTCATCATCACACGGCATTGGGATAGAAGCACGTCCTTACCTTCAAGTATACCATAAGAAACTCTCTCAGATCTCTGGCCAAGACTGTTTAAACGAAGCTTACACTCGTTTACTCTTAGACAGACTATTTTACTGAAGAACAGATGGCACCCATTTGTATACGGTGTGTTTACTACCTTATGGAATACTGTTAGTTATCTACTGGTGTTGGGGCACTGAGAGGTAGATTCAGTACAAAAATTATATCTATCAAATATTCATCAATAATAACCTAACCAAAAAACTAACAGTACTATACATTCAGAGAGATATGACTTAACCCAATTTATAATTACCTTCACAGTCACTTGTTCAGGCTAGACACTTGATAATGATACCACGAGCCATCATCAGACAGCGAGAGCATCTGAGAGGAGCTGAGGTTGTCTCTTAATATTCCACCTTGCAGAACCCCTTAACTCCTGCCTACCAAAACTCATTTATACCCCGGACGAGCATTGTTTGAGACTCCTTACCACAACCCCAAGACATCCTGTTTCAGAGGTTTTCAATTTTTTGGCAAGGGGACGCCACGGTAAATAGATTTGATAGTGATAGTTGCTTTTCTCTGTCCTCGGGTAAAGGTATTTTATGAAGCATGTCGTTGATATGTGTATGGCTGTAAGGAAGAGGTCGTTGATGTATAGGTTAAAGTGTTGTTCGTGCAGCTATATTTACCAACTGTCAACAGAATACAACGTTTGTCAGACCTTTTCATTTACTCTCGTCTGTGTTCGTCATTTCTCTTAGTCACCTCTTTCAGGCTCCAGTATATGTGTGTATTCGAGGAGCTGACTATAGTGCTTCTATTTTATGTCTCTCTGTTGTATGTGTAAGAAATTAATTAACATTGTGTTGTGTTGTAGGTCGCTGAGAGAGGAGGTGAGGAAGGTGGCGGGTCCCAACACTAACATTATCACCTCCAACCTTCTGCCCCACATCCTGGGTAACATGGGCCTCTTCCCCTCCAAGGCTCAAGGTAAGTCTTCTTTAATTAACCTTGTTCCATCCCTAGACTTTAAAGGTAAGTAAATATCCATGTCGTTCCTTTTAAATCTAAGGACATGATTTTATCTCATTCGTGACGATGAATATTTAGTAAATGAAGATCGTAAAAATTCACCCAACTAATTGACTTTAAATATCCAAAAATTACATCCAAATTGGTATTATTACTGAGACTCTACCTTAACTACATACCTTCATCTAATACCAGTTTAAGGATGAGATTAATGATTAGAATCAGTTCCAAAAGCACCTGTACCTTATTTATTTTCTCCTGGTGCTAAGGGAAGGTATCTAATTAAGGTAGAGTCTCAGTATAGATTTGATACCATTTTCGATGTTATTTTTGTAGTTTAGGAGATTATTAATAAGAGTGTGTTAGGTGCGTTAAGGTCAACCTCCACCAGGAATTGGGGGGGGGGGGTGTAGTGTTGAAAATTACCTGTAGGTGTCGCTATAGGGGTCAAATATGGTGTTTATTACCTCTACTTAACGTTATTTACCCTAGACAATTCCTCCAGTGACCATATATAGCTGTGTTGAACCTCTCAGTGACCTCTTGGTAAACCGTATAAATTATCTCGTTTTTCCTCTTCCATAATTCAGGGTCATTGTGTTAACTTAGTTTTTTTTTTTCTTCCTCTCCGGCCTTCACAGTTCAAGGTTATTGCCCTTACTGGGGGTCGCGTGGTAATGATTTAAGCAAGGTAAAGGTGATTAAGTTAGTGGGTCTCTCTCTCTCTCTCTCTCTCTCTCTCTCTCTCTCTCTACAGATTTCTATGATTTATTTTTATATATTTTTAAGTCCTTGTGCATATTATCTTATATGGTATTGAATATTACACACACACACACACACACACACACACACACACACACACACACACACTCGCGCGCGCATGTGTACAGTATGTGTCAAAGATAAAAGATAGTGACTATATTTATATCCTCTATGTACACCTTTGGAAACACTTCTTAACTTACGTCTGCCCGTCTGTCTGTCCGCCTGATAACTTGGTAATAAAGATATCACATTCTGTATGAAGTCCAATTTGATAACACGTTGGTTAGTGAAAGTGCGATATCTTGGGGTTAGATCACTGTAGGGTTATGTCAGGTCACTGTAGGGTCACACCTTAAGTGTTGTGGCCAGCTGTGTGTACACGCTGCTCCTCCAACACCTAATACTTGAGGAATAAATTACCAACTGTGAAGGTCAACGAACAAGGTCAAGTCAGAGGGTGTGGCTCAACACGTGGGTTATGAAACAATGAACATTTTTACTTAATGTTTTTTACACTATTTTTTTTTGTGTGTGTGTGACCTTTTTACTGTTGGTTCACTCCAGTTTTGGTTCCTTTTTTGTTAATTTTTAGTGTTTTGCAAACTTAAACTTTTCCATGTTTTGTGAACTCTACTGATTTATCTCTGTCACTTGATATTATGTGTTTTAATGTTCGGTAACTTAATGTGGACAAAATATGAATCTGTAACATTCTTCCTTATGGGTTTGTGAATTAGATCATCTGTAGATTAGACACCCTGGTTTATTTTCATGAAGATTAGACACCCCGGCTCATTTTATTTGAAGGTATGCCAAGTTAATGCTACCTGGGAGGAGGGAGACTAAAATGAAATTAGGTTAAGGTGGTTAATCTTCAAGCAAAATAATCTGGGACAATTAATCTTTAGGTAAAATAAACAGGGGTGTCTAATGGTCAGCTGAGCCCAAGGATTTACTGTAAATTTTACCAACTGGTCGTCCTTGATCTCAGAAAAAAAAATCAATTTAACATGAATTTAACTACTGTGGCGGAGCATCAGAGTACAGAGCTTAGAGTGTCATGCTAGGTCAGGTCAGGTCAGGTTAGGTCAGGTCAGGTTAGGTTAGGTTAGGTTAGATAAGGGGAAATAAACTGGTGTGTCTAATCTTCAAGTGATCCTTTCCTTACTGTCAGGATACATACACTATGATAGCCCCCCCTCCACACACACACACACACACACACACACACACACTCTTACTCTTGCTATAGTCTGAGAGAGGGAAGCAAGAGCTGGGGGGTTATGCAGTGCTACACTCTTACATTATTATTATATTCACGAGAGCAGTATGATAATAGAGGAGACAGTTAGAGAGATGAACAGAATAATAAAGTGTCGTGTGGGTTGGGCGTGGTGGTGGTGTTGAACTGACTCACCTAACCCCCACCCTACCCTACCTCAACCCCACCCCTCCCCTACCCTACTTCAACCCCACCCCTCCCCTACCCCACCTCACCCCTCACCCCACCCCTATTCCCTGTGTGTGTAGATCTGTCATCTTGCTTGCCACTTCCATACATCACCACCTACGTCCTTAAACTTCTTTTTTCTCCACCACTGCACGTCTCCCACAACTACTGTATACACCTCCTACACCACTACACGTCACCCACAACTACTGTATACACCTCCTACACCACTACACGTCACCCACAACTACTGTATACACCTCCTACACCACTACACGTCACCCACAACTACTGTATACACCTCCTACACCACACGTCGTCATTTGTCTACCCCTAGAAGTATCTGGTCAGGTTCCAACACTAAATCATAGACGTGTGTTTCTAAACTATTCGTGAAAGTGTTTGTAAAATGGGTGATAGTATTTGTGATTATAGATGGGTTATGATTGGTCACAAGTCAGCTGTTTGGGTTATGATTGGTCACAAGTCAGCTGTTTGGGTTATGATTGGTCACAAGTCAGCTGTTTGGGTTATGATTGGTCACAAGTCAGCTGTTTGGGTTATGATTGGTCACAAGTCAGCTGTTTGGGTTATGATTGGTCTGAAGTCAGCTGTTTAGATTTATGATTAGTCTAAGTCAGTTGTTTGGGTTATATTGGTCACAGAATCAGCTGTTTGGGGTTATGATTGGTCACAAGTCCAGCTGTTTGGGTTATGATTGGTCTAAAGTCAGCTGTTGGGTTATGATTGGTCACAAGTCCAGCTGTTTGGGTTATATTGGTCTAAGTCAACTGTTTAGTATGATTAGTCAAGTCAGCTGTTTGGGTTATGATTGGTCACAAGTCAGCTGTTTGGGTTATGATTGGTCACAAGTCAGCTGTTTGGGTTATGATTGGTCACAAGTCAGCTGTTTGGGTTATGATTGGTCACAAGTCAGCTGTTTGGTTGTGTGTGGCTGTGGGGATGTTTTAACTTGTATCTGTAGGAATGTTTAACTTACAAGCCTCGCTTATGTTAATTTCACGACTAAAAGGTGTGAGTTTGGCAAGTAACCATTCCCAGCTGGGTGAACTTGGGGGGGGGGAGGGGGGGTACCCTGGATGCGAACCAGAGATTCTAAAAGACAAGATGTGAGTTGTATCCACTCAGCCACCGCACCTATATTCTGACATAGACTGAGGTATATTGATTTGCTCCATTGTAAACATAAGTTCGTCTGTCTGTCCGTGTGTATAATATCTCATGGACCACAGGTGATTCTGTGTATTTCTCTCCTTACCTGTTAAAAATCCATCCGAGTTTCCTACTCTATATGAGATGACCGTGCTAGTTTATTGTGCACCACCATACATTAGCACCAGAAGGAAATTGTGGGTGATTATTTACCTGATTAGAATTTAGTTGATGAAGGTGTAATTACCTAAGAGGTTTGTTTACATTGACTACGGTGTGAATGGTAATGACTAATGGCACATGTTTGTTTATACCCGATGCATTTTAGAGAGGTCAAAGGTCAAGGTCACGAGGTTATGTGTACTAAAATACTACTGAATGTTTTTTTTTTCTATATATTCTTAAATAACCGGAGTAAATGATCTAACTATTTAATTGTTTGGCGCATTTTTTTCTTTGTTTTTTCGGGAGTTTGACATTTTGACCGCCAGATGGAGTGTAGGAGTCGTACCAGCACGAATCTATTAACGGTGCAACAGTGGTCAGTAGAATGAGTCTATTAACGGTGCAACAGTGGTCAGTAGAACGAGTCTATTAACGGTGCAACAGTGGTCAGTAGAACGAGTCTATTAGCGGTGCAACAGTGGTCAGTAGAACGAGTCTATTAACGGTGCAACAGTGATCAGTAGAACGAGTCTATTAACGGTGCAACAGTGATCAGTAGAACGAGTCTATTAACGGTGCAACAGTGGTCAGTAGAACGAGTCTATTAACGGTGCAACAGTGATCAGTAGAACGAGTCTATTAACGGTGCAACAGTGGTCAGTAGAACGAGTCTATTAACGGTGCAACAGTGGTCAGTAGAACGAGTCTATTAACGGTGCAACAGTGATCAGTAGAACGAGTCTATTAACGGTGCAACAGTGGTCAGGAAACGAGCTCATTAACGGTGCAACAGTGGTCAGTAGAACGAGTCTATTAACGGTGCAAATGAGTGGGTCAGTAGAACGAGCTCCACAACGGTGCAACAGTGGCTTAGAACGAATCTATTAACGGTGCAAGGTGGTCAGTAGAACGAGTCTATTAACGGTGCAACAGTGGCCGTAGAACGAGTCTATTAACGGTGCAACAACAGGGTCAGTAGAACGAGTCTATTAACGGTGCAACAACAGTGGTCAAAGAACGAGTCTATTAACGGTGCAACAGTGGTCAGTAGAACGAGTCTATTAACGGTGCAACAGTGGTCAGTAGAACGAATCTATTAACGGTGCAACAGTGGTCAGTAGAACGAGTCTATTAACGGTGCAACAGTGGTCAGTAGAATGGGTCTATTAACGGTGCAACAGTGATCAGTAGAACGAGTCTATTAACGGTGCAACAGTGGTCAGTAGAACGAGTCTATTAACGGTGCAACAGTGGTCAGTAGAACGAGTCTATTAACGGTGCAACAGTGGTCAGTAGAACGAGTCTATTAACGGTGCAACAGTGATCTTTACCATCACTGTGCCGTTGCTTAGCTTGAGCCAGTATGCTGTTTCCTGACATCATGATCCCAAAGTTCTGAATG